TTATATATATATATATATATATATATATATATATATATATATATATGTATAGGAGAGAAGCTTTTGCAAATACCACCAGGGTCATCATGGAAGTTAGCTGATCTTTAGCCATGCTGCAGACGTATGAAAACACCGAAATTTCTTCCTGATATCCGCCATTGATGAGCTACATTCTCCTCATCGCCTTAATATTGCTTATAAGATTGCTTCATCCTATCTGATGGATATTCTATAAATTTTATTTTAATAAATTTCATTTCGGTAATCCATCAAGTGTTGTATTTTCTGTCTTCCAAAATTTTTTTTTTTTGCTGTGGAAACACGTAGTTAGATTCAGCTAGTATTATATAATTATATCAATGTTATATAATTTATATTAATACATTTATACTTATATTAATTTATATTAGTATTACATTTATATTGTATTAATTTATATTCAAGCTTCTAATGTGTTTACATGAAAAATTTTTATTACAGCGTTCGTACGTGTGTTGTGGTTGCAGAGGAAAGGCCACGAGTTACTTTATGTGCTGCATTTTCTAAGCTCTTTGCACCTTTGGGTCTTAATTCACGTGCAGTATCTACATCATTTGGTTGTCGGGTATAGTATCTTTTTTCATTTAATTCTCAATTTTTTTTTTTTTGATTTTATATGACAAATAAATTTGTAGTTAAAACTAGGTTGCAAATATACTTCTTGGGTATATTTAACCTTTGTTTTACTTTTTTTACTTTTTCTTTTTTTCACCCTTTTTTTTACTTTTTCTCACTTTTACATCTATTATTCAACAAACTTATATTAAAATTCCGGGTGGTTCCGAGATTTTGTATTGATTTGCTAAATTTGGGTATTGATTAGACGTGATGATCGTCATTTGTTGTTAAGCATTGGAACATTTTATTTAACTGAATCATTTCTTCCTTTTTTTTATTGGCCGTAATATTTTTGTTTTCAAAAGATCATTTTCAATTTATAGGTTAACACAGCAATCTGTATGCAAGGAGCAGCGAGTCCGGATCCGGCAACAGTATACGTTGATGCACGAGCATTACATAATGATCGTGTAACGCTTGTTGAAAAGGGTGCACCACATAGCATAGCATTAATGGAAAGTGGAAAGGTATATTTTCTTTCATTTCGAAAAGATCAAATTTTACATTTTTATGATTAGATATTGACCGACATTTTGCTCATTAATCTTTCAAACCACAGGGAGTACATAGCTGTGATAGATTAAATGAAATGATTCATTTTAGTTGTTACCCGGTGTGGAAGTGGTAATTGCAAACCCGGAAACTAGAGGTCAGTGTGCCGATTCACATCTGGGTGAAATTTGGGTTGCATGTTCACATAATGCAGTTGGTTATTTCACATTATACGGTGAAGAAGCATCATTGCATACTGACCACTTTAATGCAAGGTAATATTTTTGACATTTTGATTTGAACTACGAATAAGCTAAGCTATGGACTAATACATATCCATTAGGTTATTTACATGGTCAATTTTTATACCACTTGTGTCTCGTCATCTTGTTCTCAGTTAACTTCTTTTAATTTTGACATTAGAGATTACTTCAGCTGAATCATTCCCTTTTTTTGTGACATTAAGTATTAATTTAGTTAGCAGCAGGTTCATCAACTAATCGTGAAGATAGCCTTAATATTTAAATTAAGGCGTTCAGACTATTTTTCCGTTGGTAGGGCATCTTGTTCCTCATCTATGAACCTACATACGGTATATTAGCAAAAATAACGGAGGAAGATATTTTTACCACTCTTTTCATTTGATAAACATTTTTCCCATTTTATTCCGTGGCAGTCAGACTTGCATGGCTGCTCCATATACGTTCTTGCAGTACGTGGAGCTACGTTATACTTAGACGTTTATTTTTAGGTTAACAACTGGTGACACTCTTAAACGTTTTGCACGTACGGGTTATTTGGGTTTTCTTCGGCGGACACAATCCATAACGGCTGATGGAGGTGACTTTTTTCTTCCATGACTTTTTAATGATTGTTTTAAATGAACTGTTGGAAATTTCGAGCTCCACTAATCTATTTTAACATTAACGTTCTAAAAAACAAGTTTTTATGATTGACTTGTTTACTTTTTTAATTAGAAAGTTTTCCAAATTTCTAGAAAATCACTTGCAATAAAAATTGTTGGAAATCTAAATCATTTTTGGACTTAATAGGACTTATGTCTTTGGGACATTTATGGCACTTGAACTCTATTCTTCCTAACTTAGGTTAATTCCACTAATAATCATAAACTTGCTGTCGGATGTAGTTGCACGATAAAGGAGGTAAATTATGTTGTTGTAGAGTTACACGATGCAGTATTTGTTGTTGGTGCATTGGATGAAGCACTGATGTTACGCGGAATGAGATACCATCCGGTGGATATCGAAGCAACCGTAATACGAGCTCATCGCAAAATTTCTGAATGGTTGGTGCCGTTGTTTACCAACTTGAGAACTTCAAATTTACCTTAATTGCTGCTGATATGAGATTTGAAATGTAAATGTATATGAGTATTTTCATTATTCTGAACATATATTAAAGCTGTTAATATGGGGAATGCATAGGCTTATATTGAATTTTAAAATCTTCGTTCAGTAGTTCAAAATGCATCATTTTTCATCCCATTATGTGTGTATCAGTACTGGGACGGCAAAATCCAGATGGGAAGGAGATGGATAGGCTTAATGATAATCTCCAACAGTACTTTATATTTTCATACTGTGACTTGTTACAAATCATATAAGTTCGATTCTTGAAAAATGAGATAATTGCAATTTTTTTGATAATGTTAACACTAATAATTTTGATACGGAAATGGGTGTGAATGATTCATTTTTTATTAACTGATAATAGATATTTCGATATGTTTCGAGGAAATAGTTTCCAAATACTAAGGATGGTTGTTTTTTTTGAACATTCAAATTTTCAAATTATTATTTGTTGGCTATAATAAATAATTAAATTTTCAGTGCCGTATTCACATGGACGCATCTTTTGGTTGTAGTTGCCGAAACTGAAAGTGCGGAATCAGAAGCGTTAGATTTAGTACCAGCTATAACATCTGCTGTACTGGAAGAGCATCATTTGATTGTGGGTGTTGTGGTAATTGTTGATCCTGGCGTGGTACCAATAAATAGTCGAGGAGAAAAGCAACGGATGCATTTACGGGATGCTTTCTTAAAAGATATGCTTGATCCCATTTATGTCGCTTACAACATGTAAAAGATATTTAGGATAATTTTAAATTAGACTTTAAATAAATTAATTACAAAGTATAAAATTACTAACAAAATTGACAAGGCATTAATAAGTGTGTTTATTAATGTCATTTTTCCTAATAAATATGTTCAATTTTTGGTACCCTTCGTATATTTCCTCTAATTTAGCTATATTTTAATCGCTATTTTTTAGCTATAATCTAATTGCAATTTTTGTGTGTGTCTTTTTTAATTAAAGTATGAATAGTCTAAGAGGGAATGTTTTTCATGTTTAATGTAATGAAAGATTCCATAGAATATTGAAAATTTCGCAGTGGATTATTTTCTTTTTTTTTAAGATTTATTAGAAAACTAAAAAAAATGAACTGCTTGACGAAAAAAAAATTTTAAAATTTGTTAGAAAAAAAGGGTTTTTTTTTGGAGAAAATTTTAATAAATATAGAATTTAAATAAAAATATTATGTTAGGAACGATATAAAATTATGTATATCGATTTTGTGAAATAATGTTTATACAATTTTGCATTGCTCATTCATCATTGTATTATCTAAAAAATTGTAAGATAAGAATATTGCCTCCTGGATTATTTCCAGTATATGTCATGTTAATTTGTATTACAAAAAAAAAAAATTTTTTTAATCTTCCTCTTCTTGGCTCTGATTTTGAAAATTATCATTTGTTGGCTACACAACTTTTATTACTGTTAATAAATTTCTTCTAATTATTGTTAATATTTGAAAATTTTAATTGTTTGTTTAAGATGATGAGAAACACAAAATTAAATATTCGTATAATTTATAAAATATTGGAAATTTCAATATAATATTGGATTAATTCGAAATGAATTAATTGAACAGATTATTAATTAAATTAATAGCACATAGAAATTTTCAGTGATGAGATGATTGAATGAATGATAGACAATCAAACGAGAAGAATGGTTTTGTGAATGGTTTTAGAATGAGTAATAATGAAAAGCGATTACAACTTTATTAATATTATTTCTAGACTATTTTTTATAGTATTATTATGTCGAGAAATGAAATTAGGGATGGAATTAATTAATTTAAAGTAACTAATGCATATTAATTATGTTATTGTAAAAATTTTGAAAAGTAGTTTTTAATTACATTTATTTCGTTTTTCTTCTAAATTTACGCTAAAATTGTTCTTCAATTAATAAAATTCCTCTTTTTCTTTTCCTCCCCTCGTCTCTCCAAATTTCGCGCTATTTTCCACTTCCATATTGTCTATATACTTAGTAATATTTTTATATGTCTTATTTTACATATACTTTGATTATTTTGATAAAATGTATACATCAATTATTGATTAAATATGTTACAATCATTATGTGATATTATCATCTTATCCTGTATTGAAGTCATTGTAGGACAATCAATCTATCAATGGTAGAGATGGTATTTTATTTTCAATCTAGAATTACATCATTCTGGGAATATAATAACTGGAATATGAATTTCTTGGGATAAACTATACTATGGTTTTCATGATTTTCCGATTCTTTTAATTCTAATTCTTCCAATTCCTACGATCATAGTATGATACTTTATTTTATTTTTATTTTAGTAGTAATAGTTTTAAAAATTTCAAAATTATTTTT